AAGTCTTCTTTAATATCTTATATTAATTTTATTGATTATATTTTAAGTCTTCATTAAATAGTCTTAAGATTTGCTGATTTATTACAACAACAAATTGATTTTATTTTGCGTGTCGTTCAGCGCTTAAGATATATCTTCTTTTTATTCATTTGCCATACATTTAATGCCAAAATATTTTTGTTTAAAATAAGTACCGTAATACAAGGAATTTATAAATATTTTTCAATAAAACAAAAATTACTTGAAATGTCGACAAAGCAAATGATGGGATAATTTTTAAGCAAATTATGACTTTGGTTTAAATATTAGTTTTATTAATGTTGAAGAATCTTTCAAATATGTTTTAATAGGCTTGTGATCTAAATGTGATATTTTTTATTTTATAGTATTTTGCACTTCAATTGTATTTATTTGAAGTGTGGAAAGACACTCGACTTAATACATCTCAATTGGACGACAACTCATTATCGGTTCCCGAAGAATATTCCTCGTGTTTTTGGACGCCTTCTCTAGTATTCGACGGAAGCACTCAAAAGGAAGCAATACTTCCCCCAAATTCTGTCATCAAAATACTTAAAAACAATATTTTAATCAGAAAATCAAGGTTTGAATTAATTTATTGTCAAAATATAACATTTTCAGTACATTATAGAAGGCTATAATGAATATTCATTACAATGAAAAGTAAAAATATAGCACAATAAATTGACCTCTTTGTTATTTTTGGAAATTCAATGCATTTATACCTATATTTTATGTTAATTTTTTAGATTTTCATTTAAAGTCAGTTGTCATATGAATTTGCAAACATATCCAATGGATAGGCATATCTGTCACTACAGTATCCGGACGTGTCAGTGATTTTTATTACCTTTTTGATATTCAAAGCAAAATGTTTCACTAATTATCACAAACTTTAATTACTTTGATTACCATTTAGTCTCCGAACCCATTGAAAAAGTGAGCCTTCATTGGATTGAAGACAAGTCGAGTCCTATAGACTATTTGCTGGATTCGGAGCAAAACAAAAGTGTAATCTATAAGAATGAATTCACGCCATC